TTTTTATATATTTCATGTATAATATATATATATATGTATTATATATATCTCACATTTTTTTTAGATTTGTTGTCAGTTACCTTATCGTTCAAAATTATCAATTAATCTGTAGAATTAAATTACTAATTTTAAATTTTATTAACCAATGTTTGTTCAAAGATCATTATAATTTTCTAGAGGAATATATCATTTTGTCGAATTACCATCAATATATTATGGCAAATTATTATGCGAATATACTAAATTTTAAGAATCACATCACCTTGATTTTATAAGAATGTGGTTCATCCACATTTTATTTTACATTCTAACCAACCAATTGAGAGATGAGAGAGAAATATTATTACCATTTTCAAAATATCTAATTATTAATTTTTTGTTTCTTATTTATATATTTTATTTTTGCCAATTGACAATATTATGTTTGATCACATTGTGCACGCAGATAACTTTGTTGATTTAAAGTTGTGAACATAAGAAATATCTTATGTGGTTCACAATTCATAAAAACAATTGACATTTGTCAAAATTTATGTGATAACAACATTTATGCATTGTAAATTCTCTTATTTTGTTTTAAATAATTTCAAATATACTTCTATCCATTCCAAATAAAATTCATACTATTTAAATTCGAACATTTCGTACCAAAAATAAATCACCCACTCTATACCACAAAATCAGACATTTATTTATAACAACATATTTTCTTCGAAAAGATAAAAATGGCTATCAGATACTTAAAACAAAATCATCAACTCTACTATGTCAACAAAAAGATGTATGAAAAATAACATAAGCATTAGTTTATTATGTTTTAGTCAATACAAGAAATATAATATAGATATAAAGATTAACTATTAATTCTCTATAATTGTTCAATCAAGTCTATATATTTAAACTAAGGATTTCGAAAGTTTCTATAATACCCCCATATTGTTTTCATAAAACTAAATCATCCTAAATTTAAATTCAACTAATAAAGGTAATAACAGTAAATATTTGACTAAAAAGATTATGTACATAAATTACATTGATTTTTATTAATTTACTATTTATAGGCACTAATAAATGAAATTGGCAGAAAAATATTTCTAAAAGTGAGTTACATTAATCCTTATTATATATTAATAGATAACGGTTTTCATACGATCCTATTGGGTAATTAAAAGTGTAGAAATGCTCTTATATCTACGGTGGGCACATGTTAACATGCCCACCGCGTAGGTGGCATCCACTCATTGGTGATATTAATATGTTTAATAAAATACATCACCAATGAGTGCATGTCACCTACGCGGTGGACATATTAACATGTGCTCACAATGGGTAGGTGAACATTTCTCGTGAAAAGTGTTCTCAAACTTTGAGTTGGTACTATCAAATATTTGTACAAAATTCAACTGATAATCATTCACATTTTTTGGTGCTCACAATACAGAAATAACAGACAT